CACTGTGAGAGTAAAGTGTCTTGCCCAAGAACACAACACAATGTCCCCGGCCAGGGCTCGAACCCGGACCGCTCGATCCGGAGATGAGCGCACTAACCATGAGGCCACCATGCCTCCCTAACATTAATTTGTTGTGTGAGTAACTAAAGGTGGAACAGTCTCTTTCAGTTCTAGAATGACAGGGTCCTGTGGTATCATCAGAGACCCATGAACTTTCTAGAATATTGCTAATCTTTCCCTGGATGACAAGTCTATCACCAGCTAGACCCCTTCTCTCTCCCTCTGCAGCTTTGTCAGACTGCCCTAGGCTTGCAATATTTGCTTGGGCAAATAACAAGAACACCTCATGCTTAAGAACACACCCCAAGGATGAGTGTTAAGGGTGATGTTCTATCCATTAGACCACCAGTGTGAAATAAAATTTTTTGTAGTGACGTTCCAGTTATTGGAGCTTTGTTTTAGCTTAAGTATTTACTTTTTGTTGATTGCAGTGAGTGAAAGCTTGGATAGGAAAAAGGTTGATACTGCTGAGGAAGATTTTAAAAAATCAGAGAATAATGAAAGTGGTGATCCAAAACACAGTGATGACCAGGAAAAGAATGAAAGTACAGAGAAGTCAGAGGCGACTGTTGAAACGTATCTACCTTTCTTCAGGGAAAGTGACCATGGTTCCTCACAACATGAGCAGTGCAAGACTTCATCTGTTATTCCTGAGCCACCATTGTCTCCTAGTCTAGCTTCATTGGAAGAAGAAGATGAGAACACTCCTTCACTTGGCCTGGAGGATGATGACTGGGTAACTTATCATTCTCTGTAACACTTTGCATAATTAACTATTCTTGGACAAAACAGTTGACTCTCACAGTGCCTTCTCTCTACAAAACTACCAGTGGTTCAGGCAGGGAGTGCAGAGAGAGGGTTTTAGGATGAGAACGGATCAGGACAAAACAAGGATGCAGCATGCACATGAGGAAAAGTCTCATCCCAACCTCTTCTCACATATACTGCCTTTTTGCACTCACATTTGCAAGGATAAATGATTGTCGGTTCCTAAGAGAAAAAGCTGACTGCAAGCTGTCTGGGATAACTCTGCAATGGACTATCATCCCATCCAGGGGAGGGGATGATAATACACCTGGTATCTTGATGCCACTAAAAGCAGATTTAATCAATTCCCTGGTAAGCCATTTGGGCTTGAAGTCAGACTTCACAGAGTACCTATATAACCATTACAATTTTGGTAAGAATTTTAAAACAATCTCTGGCTGAAACGATTTCAAAATTACAAGCTTTCGACTGCCTTACCCTGTCTTCGATGGGTAAAATGTGAATGACAATAAACAAAGAAAAAGAAAAAATTTGAATACAAAAAGTCCTGGACAATACATATGACATTCTTATTGACAAACATTCATAATTTCCGTTTTTATTATTTGGCAATTTCACACATTTGTATTCAAATTTTTTCTTTTTCTTCGTTTCATGTCATTCACATTTTACCAATCAAAGACTGTAGTGCAGGCAGTCAAAGCTGTAATTTTTTAATTGTTTCAGCGAGAAATTGTGTTAAAATTTTTACCATGTTTTATCCTGGCTATGCCCCTTCAATGTTTTCACATTACAATTTTCCTCATTATTAGGAATTTCAAGAGGACAAATCTGGAGATCCAAATGTTATCCCAGAAAGGTATTGTATTGTCAGTAGACTAGTGGTGATAGTGTTAGGTTGTTGAAAATATTTTTTTTGCTTAAATGTTGGACAATATCCAAACTCTTACTGTCAACCTCCTTAAAGAAATGTCTCATTCTCAAGTCGCAATTCTGTGCTAGTAATTCATTTCCATCCTCGTCATCATTAGTCACCTTCACTTCCTAATGCGGTTGCACCATTTCTACCATATTGGTCTAGAAAATCAAACCATTATTACTGGGTTTCCTGTTACCCAGCTATCATTTGTTGCCTCCATATTGCAAACCATTTTCCTCCTAGCCATCGTTATTCATCCTCACTTCCTAGTGTGTTCCTGTTATTTGTCAAGTACAGCTCAACAATTTAATCAAGTCAGTTTTATTGTTATGTTTTGTGTGATCTGGGAATACACAAAAGTAATAGGTGAAAGCACCAGTCAATTTTACAATATTATTTAGACTGTTTGGCCTCTCCCTTGTTTCAGCCCAGTAATAAAAGTTGGAAGAGCCACTGACGCAACTGCGGACACAGAGACTCCACTAAGTGAGAGTGATGAGGAGTTTCAACAGAATCAAACATTTGTTAATAACAAACGTGTCAAATCTAACCTGTTCTGACCCTAGCATTCGCTGAGCAATGAACATTGATAAACATTAGCCTTATTCTCTACAAGTTAAATGTCTTGATCTAAATTATTGAATTGGATTTCTCTCTTCCTGAAACCATATTCTGTTTATGTGGAGTAACGAATTTTTTTGCACAAAACAGTGAATTCTACAGTTGAGAGAAGCTCAGTACAAAGCCAGAAATATAAATGACTTTATTGCAAGAGGTCTCCAAAGCAAACAATGTAAGGGTCAGTGAAGGTTTACACCCATATGCCTCATATTTTCACATTAATGTTTCTCATGTAACCGACAAGCAAATTGGGTAAAATATGTAGGAATGTCTCAATTGCGATACATGTATGAGCCATTGACTAAAACAGAGAAACAAAAAACAAGTGAGCTCCAGATTACATATTTCTCCTGAAAAAGTCGATGATGCTCATACATAAATATTTTTCTGGGTGGACAAATGTTTGTGGTCTCATAACATATGATCAACTTCAGCTCTTGCAAAAATAGAATACCGGTAATATGCTGGAGAATATTACTATACAGTGAAATAGTTGACTATTAGGAATTGTACTACAATTGTATTACATGTAGTCCACACAATGTCTTGGGAAACATTCCAAAAATGTTTTGTACATATATAATACTGTTACATTTGTCACACAAAATAGGGTACAGAAACAGATAATTCCTTATACCAAATAGTATAAAATCATATTTTCTTTAAAAAAAAAAACTGTATATGGAGGGGGAAAGGTTATAAACAATAAAACGATGAGTTCTTTTTAAACGCATTCTTCCGAGTCTCTGTTTTCTTTTTTGTTACCTCATGACCTTTTACTTTCACCTCAACACCAGAAATAATTGTGCAAGTAATTTTAAAATTGTTGTGTTGCTATCAAACTTTTGATGGCCCTTATAAGAGATCTAAGGACCCAAACAAAAACATTAAAATGTCTTCAAGAATGATGTATGACAGCCCTTGGTAGTAGCAGAAGAAACAAGAGAATCGAGTGTATAGAGAAAACAACTTCACACGGACCAAGAAGAGAAATGTGGGATGAAGTCACTGATTGGATAACTGATCTGAGTTGGATCAGTGATGGAGAGTTTGGATTAGATTGGGTCCAGAGCCAGATAAAGGAAGGAGTGATGGAGGCCTTCCCAGATGAATGGTAATACCTGGGTGATCATGATACTGGAGAGCAGGTGTGTTTCATTTTGTGTCAAATGTTTTTTTTATTAAATTTACATTCATAGACCATTTAATTGTAGACACCCAGCTAGCCTTCTACACAGATGCTCCTTGGACTCATCACGCAGTCTTCCTTCCCCACGTTAGGGAGGAGTGTGTGACAAGCCTTCAGAATGTCTGCCTATGAGGCTATTAGCTACCCCCTCCACCCAAAAATTTGAGGAGAATTCCCCCACGACTTTTTTGGGAGGATGTACACAGGCCCACACTCAGTGTGTTCAGATGGAAATCTGTAAATATGATTGTTTTTCCATTGGTGTCTGCTGGTAGAGCATGATTGTGTCTATGTTACTCTTGATAGGGTAAACTTGTCCAATATCATTATCCAATCTGGAGTTTCTCTTGGCTTGATACAAAGCTTTAAATTTAATTCTTTTTTTTTTTTTACAAAAATCTGTCTTGAAACGTTTGCGGAGTTATTTTATTTTGCTAGTTCTTTTTAGTTTTTCTGGTTTCAACAGTTAATTTCAGCATTGCTTACATATGAAGACATGATTGATCACTTTATACACACAAGTTAAGAAGTTGTGAAATTAAAGCGTGAAAACAATTCAGGCCTCAATTTTTTTCGGGCTTTAATTTCACAACAGCTTAAGTTGTGTGTATAAGTGCGATGATCAATCGTGGCTTCATAACATTCTCCGTTGTTCAAATATATGAACTTTCATATATTCATTTGTATTGCTAACATATAAACAAGCTTAAACACAATCTTGCAATCCCCATGTTTACTTTTGCTTTAGATTACATTAAAAGGAGGAAAAGAAAATATTGCGGTGTAACTGAAGTGAAACGCTTGATAATGAAGGCGAAATTTGCATTTGAAAAGAATTACCGGGTATTGGGAATTCATTTGAATTTTAGATAGATTTTTACATTAATATTCATTTTTTTCGTATTTTGCCATCAGCTTAACCTGAACGTCTTTCTGAAAGTTATCTTGTGGGAAAGCACCCTGCCAATTCAACGTTATTATCATCAAAAATCGTCCATATCGTCATGGTAGACGTACTTTGGTTCGAGCCTTGAGTACAAGGGCGTGGAGTTATTGCCTTACTAGGACTATGCCTTGAAGCGACGATGGCTGCAAACACGTGGACGATGGTATGGCGGCGAAATTGACGAAATGCTTCGTTACGTTCTCCTTGAGAGGTAACTACGGCTTATTGTGTTTGTATTTGTTTCTCGTTTCTCGTTGAAAAATGTTTCAAAGTTATTAGGAAAGAGTTAGCTTACTTTTCTACAGAAATTATCGTACCAAACATTGGCTGGTTTCTCCATCTAGTTTACATAAAATTAACGTTGGACGACTCTTAAAATAAATTAAGTTTAGTTTAAAAAAAAAAATAGTAACGGGGTACAGGGTATATGGGGGAAAAATTAATGGGATATGGGGAATTAAGATCAGAGTAAGCGAGATATAGAGCAGGAAAATCGTTAATTTTTGTAATTGGAGTTAATGGGATGTTGGATATTAAGGCCAAAAATTAATGGGACTGATGTGGGTTACTCAGACCCTCATTAATGGGGCCTTGTTGTTTCAGCCTGTTATTGCACGTTATCTAACATTTATTCACATTGTTTTTATCTTTTTTTAAAGGCGGAAATGTCAAGCATGGAATAAGAAGCTGGAAATTACTAACTTAGAAGAGAAGGAAAACGGTTAGTTGAATGATTAATTTCTGTACACTTAGCTGTACATCAGGTGTTTATTCTCATTGTTTTGAATCTGTCTCTAAGGAAATGTCAGGCATGGAATAGGAAAAATTGGAAGAGAAGGAAAACGATGAAGGATGATTTTGCTATAAGGTGAGTTGAATGATTAATCTTTGTACACGTGGCTGTAGATCAGGTTTAGGTTTCTTTCAAAACAGATCCGGAACTTTACTCCGTGGTTTAAAACGTGATCGAGATCTTAATCGTCTTGTTTACAGTGCTTTAACAGCTTCTTGTCCAAAATGAAGGTGAAAAATACAGAAAGAATCTTTGACATCCTAATAGATTATTCAAATTTCATATTCAAACCGCGCTCTAAAATTTCGTGCCGAGTTAATTTGTAGCGCGTGTAGCTTGAGAATGAGCGATCGCTCTGTAAAAGATAAAATAATTTTCTCTTTAAGCAAGTTGTGATGCACAGTATTCACTGAGGCTGATGAGTCAGAGCTAATTTTTTATTCTGTTTAAAGCGAATATAAGTTTTTTCTAACATTTAATCTCGCTCAGGTTTTCTACATGCTAGAATTGACGATGAAGCGTTTGCTTTTTATCACATTAGGCTATATTTCTTGCGTTATTTTGATCGTCACGGCCACGAACGAGTCCAGTGTCACTCGGTGAAATAAGTTTAAAACCTGAGCTATTGCGGAGGAATCGACTAAATAGATTCTTGTAATTTGCTGTATAATCTTTTACGTTAAGACTATCATTACCAGTGGCTACTATCGGTAAACATAAACGCTGGGTTTAACACCAAATATTTAATTTCAAAGTGATGAATTTGATTTAACTGCATGTCTAAATTTTGTGATTAAACCGAGCGCTAATATTAACTGATAACATCCTCTAGTAATGATAGCAGCTGGCTTTTTAAATGCATTTTTCATTTCTCTTTGGAGTTGAAGTAAAGGTCAACAAGTTTATGTACAATTACTGTCAGTAATTTGTCTATTTTTTTTTATTTTCTTGCAGGTCACCAAGTGCCTTGGACGCTTCCTCTGAGAATCAAACAAGAAAACTCTCATTCAAGTGAAAGACAAGTTTTATCAGAGGTAGAAAACAAACTTAAGATTTCGCTTTAAGATTTTTTCGAAAGGAATCGGAGCTAGGAGTTTATTTCGTTTGGTTTCTTCACTCGCTGATGTCAGATTTTTCTCGTGTTCCAAACGTCAGTCTTTCGA